GAGTTACCAATAAAGGTGGCTCGCCAACCCTGGCGTACTGATGTCATCATGAATGATAAAACAAGAGTGAGGAATTTATTGCAAGAAAAAGAAATGGAATTGGCAAAAAGCAATGAAGAAATAGAACTAAAATTGAGTACAATATCTCAGCTCAAACCGAATTAAAAAACATGGGAATACCTATGAATTGTAGAGAAAAACATTCTTCATCAGATTTGATAGTTTTCGTTGTTAAAAATTTTCCGGCTTTGCGGAATCGTGCCTTTGCTGAAAAAAACCCCAGTTTTTATTACTTTTTTTAGGTTTTCGTTCGTTTTTCAGTTTCATATAACGACAAAACGGAAGAAGATACATTTCTAAACAGATAATTTTTTGAACTGATTTGATGTAGTATGTGAAGCTTACAAGGGAAGGTTTTTCAGACAACGGTTGAGAATTTGCTCAAAATTTGTACAAGGGTACTTTCGAACATGCTGAATCCGAATCCAAAAAAATTTTTAGCCCGTTCTCAAAAGGAGCAAAAAAAAAGGCCTCTGAAAGTGCTTTTAGTACTAAATTTCGGCCAAAAACATGCATTTTTCGAGGTTAAAAATTAGTTTTTCAGGATTTGCTTGAGTGCGAAACTCATTTTTGGACATTTTTCTAGCTTCTAAAGTAACTTTTAAACATTTTCAAAAAAAAAATTTTTGAAAAATTTTGAAAAAAATCACCATGGGGTCCCCCCACACTTTGAAAATGATTTTTTGAAAATTTTTTGAAAAGTGCGAAAAAACGTTCCAATTATTCAGAAACGATAAAATCAGCATTCTGCAAATTTTTTCAGCCCAATGTTGTCTTTGGGCTCAAAAAATCTCCAAAATCTGATTGTTGTTAGAACTTTGACAGTTCCTAATTTCTGAAATATCGTTTGAACTTAACTGAAACCTATAGAAATAGGTTCGAATCTTGTATGTGATTGATTTGACAGTACTCCACCTTAAAAAGAGCAAAATTGATCAACTTTCAGAGACTGAAATTTTCGTTTTTAACGATACGAGGATGTAAGAACCGGTCGAAAAGACCATTATCTATTTTTTTCCTCAAACTCTCATGAAATCTTTTTGTTTTTGAAAACTTGTGAAATTAAAGGGGGACTCCGACCAAAAATTTTTATTGCATTAAAATGTGTTAAAATTTATCTATTTTCCGAATATTATTGCGAAAAAATTCAAAGAAAATCCGAAATCTCCGAAAAACGGCGTTGAAAAGGAAGAA